AATATATGAGCAATATCAGATTAAACAGTTGCTAAAACATAATATTTTAAATAACATCAAATAAAATAAATATAGACATGATCAACATCTTACTTTCGAATGGATATCCTCTTACTTTCATATTTTCAATTATCCATACACATATTATATTAAATTCGATATCAATCAGAGCACTAACCATAAGAATATCCAACGTAACGACGCGTTATTTTACTGTGCGTTATTTTACTGTGTACATAGTGAAGAAAATTATTTGTTATCAGATGAAATCATATGAAATCAAATGAAATCATGTAATCTGTGGAATAATATTAGGTGTACAATTTTGCTTCCGCTGTTTTTTTTTCCGAAATTCGAGGCTTTATTGTAAAAAACTGGTTATACATTTATGATTCAAAGTATTGTCCATCGCTGGCCAATACTTTCTCCCATCTTTCGCCAATTCTTCTTGATTTTGACTCGAGTCTTGCTCAAGTAATGCCTCCAATTCTGCATCTTCGAAAATCTTCTCTCTTCCACCGCTATGCCGGTCTTCGACGTCAAAATCACCGTTTTTGAAGCGTTGAAACCATTCACGATACGTTCTTTCACTAATAGCGGCCTCACCATAAGTATTTGAGAGTATTCGATGAGCCTCAGCCGCATATTTCTTCATATTGAAGCAAAAAATTAAAACCTCCTGCAAATGACGAGAATTTGGCTCGTAAACTGACAATTGAGAATAACTTTATGATGCAGACACAAATCGACTAATGTTTCTATGAGATTATGTTGACAGATGCCCAAGAGTATTGTATGACGTCTATGCTCTATTTATTTCGACCACCACTTACCGCTAAAGTCATCTATAGGAAAATGGCGGAAGCAAAGTTGTACACCTAATATTTCAGCTAGTGGTTTGACCTTCTCGGTCAAAATTCAAGGAATGAATATCAATATAACTTAAAATTACATAAGATTGTGAAAAACATTTATTATAAACAATTTTTCAAAATTTCATTGAAAAAAATGTCTGTATCATTGGATCCGCAAATATGTCAATTAAGAAAGTTTTTGAACGATACCAATTGAAATTATAATTCATTTCCAATTTATATAAATATTTTTTATTTTTTTAAATAATAGCTTCTCTCATGTATTTTAAGTTTTTTAAAACGATTTCCGTACATTTCTAAATTAGAGACAATGCAATAATATTGTTAAAGATGAGATTAAAATGGAAAAAATTAAATTGAATGTTACATTGATTTAAATTAGAAATGATGTTATAATTTAAAAGTTTGACTGTACAAATTTAGAGGGAAATAATAATAAGGAAAATAATAATAAGTTTTTTAGACTGCTTCACGTATTGATTTTACAAACGTTTTATACATTCTATTTAATTTTTTACTGATGTACACGGATGTCGATTAATTATATTGTGATGTTATTAGTTATTTTACATGTAATGTTATTTTACAATGTCATGGCTACATCTGAAGTTTTCTTTAAGACTAATCGCTCTTAGTTGTGCTCTCACTTATGTGGTAAGACTTGTTATGTGTTGACTTGCCGAGTACTGTTACGACATTTTCCTTCCGAACGTCGACGTGTGAACAGGACATCTAATTTTTTATTATATTTCTCAATAGAAAAATAGAAATATTTCTCAATAGTTCTTCCAATCGTATTAAGAAAATCATATGTCTAGGAAGTCGGGCCGTGCCCTGTGGGTCAATATATGCGGATATACTCGCTTCATAGTATAATACAATTGTAAAGCAGAAAATAGAGCAGAGAAAATGGCTTGTGATTTAAATATTTGTCACGTCTGCTTCATTTGCTCACAGGAGCCTCTTGCACTTCGAATTTTATGTTTCTAGATTCTGCAAACTCATTACATATATTTAATTGTTATCTATATTTCTATCAGATTATTGTATATTTGATGAGAGAGCAAATCAATTTTGCTGCGATAACATTTGTTTCATGTTATAGTAAAATTTACTTTCTTAAATCAGCAAATAGAATCATTTTTCTGAGTTTTGCGTAGAAATATGTTAACTTATTAAAGTAAACAGTCTATCATCAGAAAATGCAATTTTATTATTACATGTAATTATTGTTGATAGATTGTTGTAAAAATAAAAAAAAAATTAGAAAATAAAAAACAAGATAGAATAAATTTGTTGTTGGAGCAAAACAATTTGCAAGTCTAACCCTTACGAAAAAATACACTTTGTCCAAAGTAACACTTAAATTGAGTATATTAACTCCCAAATAAACCTCCAATTTGAGGATAAACACTCGATTTGAGTGTCTTTGGATCGCCAAGAGTGTATTTTTTCGTAAGGAAAGAAAGTTATTATTTCAGGGAATAAAATAGTTCTTTTTAAGAAACTTTTGACGATAAAGTAATTAATTGTTGCAACAGTTAAATACTGTTTCAACTCTAATTCCTTTTGATCTCATTGCTATTTGCTAAACTGAAAGATGTCAGTGATGAACAATTATAGAGTAAAATCGTCTGTTATGAGATAAGCTTCTAATATGAGAAACCATGGAGTTTCTGTTAAACTAATACGCGCATGTGATTGGTTCTATCATGAACTTATTACTCTTAGGGTAAAATCTATTTAGTAGAAAATTATTAGATCATGCATATAGTTGCGAAAAAAGATTTGTGAAATTAAATGTTATCCACAATATAATATCTGTAAATTTAGATGTAAAATTAGAAGTTTTATCGAGATGAATCTTTAATAGCTGTTTATTATAAATAAATATTCGGTAATAAATTCTACATGAAGCAAAAACTAATAGGAAAATACAGGATGTGATGATTTAATTGTAAAAATTAGATTTGGTAATTGTGAAACTGTAAGGCGTGGGACTTAAAATATAAGGTACTTAATTTCTAAAAATTAAGAAATTTAAATTTTATTTTTTTTCTGACGGTTTTATTTTATAATAAATATATTTATAATAAATATAAGTTTGATATATTAATTGTAATTGATTTCTATTGTTAAGGATTATTGGGTTGTTCAAAAAATCATTGCGTTTATATATAATTAAGGATTATTGTATTTTTAAAATATAAAGTCATCGAAAAATTATACAATTACTAGATACAATTAAGATTGAAAGCTTTTCATAAGTTTTTTCTTGATTTCCTATTATAAAATATCATTTTATATAAAAAAACCCTTGTGTCTCACAGAGATGTTAGAAACATTTTTCGAATTAATAAAATTGATAATTTTAATACAAATCTTTACATACAACAAAGTATAGCTATTATCAATTGCTAACTTTTGGCGATAAAACTTGATTACATTTCCTATAACTTTGATGTAAAAATAGGAGTTAAGGTTAAAAATTAAATAAATTACAAGCCTTTAGAAAAAGGTGTTTCATATTAGGCATTTTTATTCTATTCTTCTTTACAGTCCGAAAATGATGAGCTCGACGCTGATGATCCTCGTATCCGTGACGACTATGGCAGTCCTCTCCGGCGAAGCTCTCGCCGGATCGCCTGGTATTTCATGCAACCCAGGATTTCTTGATGAACTTCCACCCAGATTCCGTAAAATCTGCATGGCATTCGCCAGAATATGGGACGTTAGGGACATGAATGACTTCATTGACGACAAAGGTAATCGCCTGTCTAAGAGTGGGATTTCATTTGTGTGTTTTTGTCGTACGACAATTACATGCAGAACAGAAAGGTCCTCGGATCTCTCTATCCTATAGCCAATCAACAGGCTTGAAAAATTTGTCGAAAAATTTGTACGATAAAAATGCACAAATAAAATCCCATCTTTAGCGAATCATTCGCTCTATCGCCACGTATACATCGTTAAAGGCATATGATACTTTAATTTATTTAACGACTAAAAGGCAAATGTCATGCGATTGCGCACGAACAATATATGCCTCTTCCTATTCTTTTTGCTATTATTTGCCTAATTAATTTATATTATCGCCGCTCGAAACTTTGTCAGTGTACGTGTATATATAATTAGTTTTAAATTCTGCGCCTGAACACGCCAAGGAGATAATGTAACTGTGAAATAGTGTCTCTGAAATCATTACAAAATCTCCATGTAATCATCATTTTACAATCAGATGAAATCATGAAATAAAAAATCTTTCATGTAGAATAATCAGAAATTGTAATGAAGTCATGTGTAATCAGTAGAAATTATTTTAAATTTCTGTGCAATTATTGGAAATCATGTGTAATCATTTATAATGAAATCGAGTGTGATTATCGAGTATTATTATAAAATTTAAATCTGAAATCAGTGTATAAATAATTCTAATAATAAGCTAATAAAACTAAAGATCAAGAGATTGTACGTATGTTTAGTTTGCTATACTTTTCAAGGCCTACTTAAAATAGAATGAGATATCCACGCATCTCATTTTATCTTAAGCAGATCCTGAAAAATATGACGAATTAATTAGAAATTGTCTAAGCGATGTTTAATCTCTTTTTCTTCAGAATCTCTAAGCAGAGTGTAAACAATATGCAACCTTTTTTTACACAGATGACGCACATTCGCATTTCTTTTTATGCATAAGATTCTAGAAGTGCATTTTGAATTTGTTGTTCACATTCTGTTATCTTAGAAATTATTTACTAATTTTAATTTTAGAATTATTTACTAATTTTCAGATTTTATGGTGATCACACATTGATTTCATCGCAATAATTCATATGATTTTAAATTTATGATTACCTCTGATTATATATAAAAATTTCTTAAGAATTTCATGATTTCGGAAACATTTTGTCCCACAATTATATTAAGTGATTATGTCGTAATGTTTTTAATCAAATAAAAACATTTGCAATCACTAGAAATCCGATAATTATGCAATCATGAGAAATTATTATGTAATTGGATGAAATCATTTATTTTACTAAGTGACTTCATATATATAATGAAGAAAATTATTTGCAATTAGAAATCATTTACAATCATGAAATTGTATAACATCAAACGAAATGTAATCTGTAGGACATTTCAGCTCGTGGTTACTCCTTCGACGCTATCCTGTATACTATGTTCTCGACATCGACTGATTACGGCGATGAGGATAATGTACGGTTTGTGTTTGAATTGTTTCAGAATATCGAGAGAACTTACCGCGGTACGACAGCACTGTCAAGAGACAAGATGTCGATCATGTTTTCTTGCGCTTTGGAAAACGACGTTAGAACCAGGCATCACACTCTGCTCTCTATTCGCAAGCGATAAACGATTCGAGTTACCCTTAAGTTTCTCATTCAATCATTTCATCGTCTAGAAAACTCAGCTCGTCAATGGAAAATGTAAAAAAAAAAAAGGAAAAAAAAAGAAAAGAGTAAGAGCAACATCTCACCGAAAAATGATCTCGTTAATATCGCTAATGGTTTAATAATTTTCATTTTCATTTTTGCTGTATATAAACAGCATTTAAGAGACCAAATTGATCCTCTCGAGCGTTCTGACTCTGCGTGAAAGTAAGTGAAAGTAATATCTTGTTAAATATGGATTTTACGCGCATTAAAGCAATTAGTTTTGCTCTCTTTGTTTGACAAAAGCGAAAACTTTAAAGGAACTTTAATTAACAATTAAACATATATTATATTATAGCACTTATTAACAGCTATTATTCCGTTAGCAGAACAAAAATTTCATATTATAAGATAATTTTATTACAAGATAATTTTGATAATATATAATTTTTTCTTTGTACTTTAATATCCCGACATATTAGAGCACTGAAAATATAATCATGAAACGCTCGAGAAAGAATAATTAGATAGTTACGAAAATAAAAACGAATTTCACAATATTTCATTCTCTTTGTTGATCATATATAATTTTATGAATAATGTCAAATGTCAACTTAAATATTAAATCTTTGAAAACTGAAGCTATCCTTAATTCTATATGTTGCCACATCACAAATAAAGAGTGTATCGCAATGATGTACAACCATTTTAATCTATGCTGTATCACACTGTGAATGTATCGAATTTACTAATTACTCGTCTATTAATTAATCAATTAATTACTAATGCACTACCTTTAACTATTAGATTATAGGCCAGCGATTAACATCGTCATTTTACCAGTGTAAGTACGTAGAAACGTATCGTATCGATTTTCACGCCGACTACTATTTCCAATTAATAACTCTCATCTTCGCGTCGCTTGTGAGGTGATGATCCTTCATATGAAAGTAAAGAATGTTATGCGTCTACGCGTACCATTTATCTTACAAACCAAGCATTTTACGCCTTGTAATGCGATCAGTTAGTGACACGAACAATTAGTCCGAACGCAAGATTCGATTGAATTAAACATAAATTAAATTTGTAAATTTGTTCAAATTAATTCCCGAAATGTATTAGTAATATCTCAAAATCGTGCGGGCTCGTGTTCGTTATTTAATTTCGTTAATCCAAATGAGATTTCCTTGATTATATTTCGATGATTGACAGCATAGAATATTTATGATAAATATTTATCAATATATTCATTTTTAAAATGTTACATAGAATTTCATAAAATATATTGTTA